ACATTGAGTCTAGAGCATGTCTCTTACGAATACACTCATGTTTAACGATTTGTTCCTAGCTATCTGTCCAAAATTCATATAATCATCACTTACGTATTTAAATTTTGTTCTGATAAACATTCATGTGTATTAGTAGTATTACTAAATTCTATCACGGTCAAGTAAAAATGAGGTTGAGAAAATCTACCCGTAACTAAATAAACCGTATCAAACTGACTGGAACACTAGTTGGAATTCTTCTCCACGGTATACTTTTGTTCCTTCAGTTAGCCTACTAATACAGATGCAATTGGAATTCAACTCATATGGACAACTTACCGGCATAATCGTTATCTGATTTCATAATTTAAACCAAAACTAATACCAATATTAACATTTCTACAATATTCATTATTTTAATATTTCTAAACACAAAATACTTACTACCTATAAGTTAAGTTATTAACGCGCATCGTTTTATTATTATTATTATTGTAATCCCATTTTTATAGTTCAAATAATCTTCAACCAAATTTTCATTTTAAGCGTGTTAATCATGAAAGCAGATATTTTAAGATTATTACATGTATTTCCCGACCAGATGCTGCCGTCTTTTTGATATATCTTTCAGCTTATCAATACCTGGAGGATCCTTATTATCCTTGGTAACCTCCGGCGCGCGACGATCCCATCCAATTTGGTATCGAACCAACATCACGTTGATTCTGGTGGGAGAGTAGTGTAGTGGCATTGGACAATAGCCACACAATCCACAAAGCTGTGAACACGAGACTACTCAGAAAATTGATATTCAATATTTAACTCGGGGAAATACCTAACAATGGAGAAGGCGCAGAGAAGGAATAGAATGGACTAGAGTTGGTCGAGTGGCATGGCTCGGCCATGCAGGCGTGGTCTCTGATGAATGTTACTTTATATCTTCTATTCATATTAAATATATTGTTCCTTCTCTAGCCCAACCTTGTTCTACATCATGTATTGGTAATTGATACGATACAGTGAGTTGGTGTAGTCGATGGTGTGACTTCCACGTAAGATCTTATAGATTAGGCAGTTATATCATGACAAATCTACAAATTTAGGATTAGGTCTATTATTAGAGCAGTACTAATATCATAGTAGACCATAGTTCTACAAATTCACGACCTTCGATGTAGTGTTGAAAATGTCGTACAGCACAATACATAGCTAGGAGTTCCCTACCGAATGTGCTGTACCTCGATTCAGTGTCTGGCAACCGTCTAGAGAAAAATGTCAAAGGTTGCCAGGAGTTGTTAACCCATAGTTGTAAAACTTCTCCGATTGCCGAGTCGGATGCGTCCACTGCGATAATAATGGGTGCTTCGGTGTCCTGATGTGCAAGCATTGTTGCTTGAGCGATAAGTTCCTTAACTGTGAAGAATGCTTTTCGTGCGGTGTCGTCCAAATTAATGGATTTCTCATTTACACGAAGTTGATCGGTAAGAGGCTTCATAAGTAATGAGCATTTAAGTACGAAACGTCTATAGAAACTTGTAACGGCTTAGGTTGGTTGGTTAAGAGTTGACCCCAAACAACCAAGCATATGCCAAAACAGTACTGTTCAAGTATTCATTCACTTCCTTGTTTTGCATAAGCGTTATATTCCCTATTATCTTATATTGAATGTTGAGAGCCTTTGTTTGTCTGAACAGATAATCCCACGCTCCACTGTTACCGCGCTGAGATCGAAATAAAAACCTATTCACTACTTGTCTGGTTTCTTCTATCAATAGCACGAGGGTTACTTTAAGGCACGAAAAACTTACCATGTAGTGTTAGTCATTAGTTTTAGCTCATAATATATTTTATTCTAGTTTTCGGACATCCCATTCTATTCATTCTACTTGAGTCATGTTTTGACCTTGTTAATTATTCGCTTATTAGCCTTGACTGTTTTCACATGAGCGTACATGTGTGTACACTTCATGTCCGATGACTCATCACATGTCTGTAGTTCATTGTGTCTGCCTATAAATATTGAGTAATGTTCGGCTTGAATTGGAGTTGGCTTCTCAGCCATCTTCCCAGCGCGTCAATTCGTTTTGTTCTATCGCATTCACTTTACATACAAAATATATGTATTCAAATGCCATTCTCGTTAATTGACTTATTTAATTTCGTTATGGACTAACGTGATTTAAGTCGACGATGATATACGAGAATCAGCGATAGCAAACATCCATACGCTCTAAACAGGAGTCAGAACCACGGGCCACTAAAGTGGTGAGCCCTCCAACGAGTATCGTCGATCTAGATAAGGACAAAATCAAACTACAGGCTTCTAAAACCAGGTCGTTAACCGTTCGTAATTTCTTGATGGTGGTCGGTTCTGGGTAATCCAGAATGTCCGCCACTTTGTTTCTATGGGATCGGATACCTTGCACATCTATAGTGTGTCCAATGAAGTCTAATGAATCAGTTCCGACTTGGCATTTCTGAATGTTTACAGTAATGCCATGTTTTTGTAGTCGGTCGAAAGCAAGATCCAGATGCTTGAGATGTGATTCTCTGTCCGGACTTGCGATTATGCAGTCGTCAACACACGCGTGTACGAAGTTGAGACCTCGAAAAACGTCGTCTATGGACCTTTGGAATGTTTGAGCAGCATTACTTAGACCAAAAGGCATTCGCGAAAATTCATAGAGTCCAAACGGAGTAATAATAGCTGTTTTCGTTATATCGTTAGTAGCCATAGGGATTTGGTTATACGCTTTAACCAAGTCGATTTTCGAAAAGACAGTTGTACCTTTCAAGGTAGCTGTCAAATCGTGAATATGTGGCAACGGGTAACGATCAGGAATGGTTTTCGCGTTCAATCGCCGATAGTCACCAGTTGGATGCCAATCGTTGCTGTCCTTTTTAGGGACCATGTGCAACGGAGATGCATATGGGCTATTTGACGGTCGTATGATTCCTAAGTCTATCATATGGTCAAACTCCTTTTTCACCAACCTCAGCTTTTCGGGAGCTAGTCGTCGTGCTTTAGAGAATACAGGTGGTCCTGTAGTCGTGATGTGGTGTGTAACGTTGCCGGTTACACACGGTAGTTTCGGTTGCGTTAGGTGAATCCCAGGATACTTATCGAGTAGTGGATGATAGAGTGGGTCTATCATATGCTTAATTGTGACTGGGGATAATTTGCAACCAGAAAAGGAAGTTACGCAAACGGATAAATTAGTGTTTCCGTCTACTAGCCTCCGTTTGTGCGTATCGATGATTAGATTATGGTGTCGTAGAAGGTCCATACCAATGATTGACATAGAAACATCTGCAACAACGAAGATCCAGTGAATGGGTTTGCGTAAACCCACGTTACGGTAAACGTACCTTTTGCCATACGTAGCGATAGGTTTTCCGTTTGCCACCTGTAAGTTTAGAGTCGATTCGTGAAGCCGGTCGTTGGAATTCGCTGGGAGAACGCTAACTTCTGCGCCAGTGTCGACGAGGTAGCGAACTCTCGTTATCACATCTATAACGTATAACAGACGGCTATGTTCGCCGGCTACTGTTGCTGTTAACGCGTGCAGGCTTGGAAGTTTCCCGAGTTGTTTTTCGAGTCACTCGGTTTCGTGTTGGGAGAATCGCAGCGTTTACTACAATTTCTGGAAGACTTTCCATACTAGTTGTGATACCAGCACCAGTCGGGATTATCCGTCTCTCGTGGTCTAGAGACAGATCGCTTACGTGAAATGCTTCTACGTGGGGTGTGCGAGCGATTACGGTCGTTACGAAGATTGAGATAACATGTGAGTGTATGATATAACTCTGTTATGTCATTCTGAGTCGTTTGAGGCTTTTCTTTGACTGAAAATACCTGTCGTAGATTTCGTAATTTCTAAAATGCGGTCGGCAGATGCAGCTATCTCGTCTAAGGCGTTGTTCTGAAACGAGACCAGAACCGCTTGCACCTGTTGGGGAAGTTTTGACAAGAAGAGTTGTTTGAATAGGCCTTCGTCGAAAGTTCTTGGGTCTACAACCTCTCTCATCCGTTGCAACATGTCCGTCGCAGAACCGTGTTGCAGGTCTATGTTATTGAAGAGTTGATCTAACCTTTGTCGATCGGTTGGGTCTCCTCGTTTCAGAATCGAACGTTTCAAGATTTCGTAAGGTTCGGAAACATCAGTAGTAAACATACTAGGTGTTACGTACCTGTTGGATACTTGCAGTTGTGCCTTGACTACTGCGAGGAATCGTGCACGTGTGTCGATTACGCCGTGCTCTTTGTAGCAAAACAATGCAATTCGTTACTTCTTTTGCATAAGTTTTGAATTCATAAGTGGTAAATATCTCAGATTAATAGATATTAGTCACACTATGTAACTGTGGTGGGCCTAGTAATATATGAACCCCAAGCGATATTAAGTACAAAGTGTAATGTAAGTGTATTTCAGTTAAACGTTATGAAAACAACAAAAATTGGAAACGTTACTTAATTAAGCAGGTTTGTGCGTGCTCCAGTCTAGTTTGGTGCCAAAATCCACAATTATAGATTACTGAAGATTCCAGTAAGATTGATGTCCTTCCAGTGACATAACCAAACGTGGAATATGGTATAATTTGGTTGTAGTCTATAAATGTAGACGGCAGTTGATTTCCAGCTCAGCTTACACAACCACGAGTAAAAGAGAACAAGAGGTATGTGTATAGCAGTGTATTTGTTAGTAGGTAACAGCGTGTGTCATGCTATAAGTGTAACACTACGTAAAAAGTGTGTTCAAGGTCATACAGTTAAACAACACGTACAATCATTTAATAGTAAATGTACGGGCTGTGAAAAACCGACAGAAAAAATACAAATAACATTGAAAACCATTTACAAAGTAAGCTTGTCATGTATATCTCCACATGACTGTTGTCAATAAGAGACGCGAGGGTTTTCAACAATTTAAGCGGCCGGTCGAATGTTCCGGTGCATATGTTAGTCTAGGTTCGCAATAATTTTGTGATAACTAATGGTTCTACCTGTGAAATAAGATGTGATGTCAGATAGAGGTCTTGAACTTCGAATCTGGAAAAATAAGTGTAAGTTATCAAACCACAGTTTACTATTGTTTAGTATACAATTTGCAGCGTGAAGCTCCTTCGCCACATGTAATACCCTGCAATCGAGTTTTAAATCATTGCCCACCCCAGTATGGTATTGAATATCATGGCCCAATATCGCGTCAGGAAACCGAAGAGCTGCTTTCTAATGCACATGATGGCTCTTACCTTATTAGAGACAGTCAACGTGCCGAAAACGCCTATACCTTGGTCATTTGGTTCGATAAAGTGGCAAAAAACTTCAAGTTGTATTTTGACCCCATAACCAAGCAGCACTTTGTTGGAGAAACTAAATTTGACACTGTAGAACTCCTTGTCGCTGATGGCCTTATTCATTTTTATGTGGAAACACGCGGAGCAGATGTTCTTAAAAGAATTGCAGAAGCCAACATCTATCAAAAGACGCCGTTTTATAAGGTATGTTGTCTCTTAACCCAGCCCTTGGGCAGGTAATTACAAATCCCGCCTATGTATTTCCCATTTTTTTACCTCACATCTTTATATCGTTTGCTGATCATACGTACATCTAGGTAATATGATCACCTTAGTGTAAAATAGAGAGCACTGATTTCAAGACTACCCATGGGGACTTCATGTACTAGTTGTTTCTAGTTGGATAGCTTGCTATTTCTCAGTTTATGTTGGGCTGCCTCAGTTTTATGATTTCGTGAAGCATAGTCTTTGAAAGTAAAAGACTCGTGAAGAGTTGCTAGTAGTTGATCGTATGTCGTTAAAAGATATCCAACCTACACTTATATTATATGATGCTAGGTTTGTATTCCTGAATAGAGGTAGTACATCACTCGTCTTATTTCTCGATCCTTCGTCGAGTTAGTTTAAATATATACTACGTATGCTTTATTCTATTTATTTATTTGAACACATAAATATTGATACAAAGGAGCACCGAATCCATATGCGTCACATAAGTCACTTGATTTGTGTGTGGGCTGTGATACTGCCCGGGTGTCCAGACCGAAGCAGGTGGTTTTCTTAGGGGGCCACACCCCGAGCCTTTGACCTGAAGGTCTGATCCACAAGGCAGTGGAGCAACGTCAGGATATGCAGTCCCATGGTAGCCGGTGACCAACAATTGGTTCATACGCCATTTGTTCCCGCAGGATACTGGAGCCCATGTGCACCATATTTTATGGCCGCGAAATGTGGCCCTTAAAATGTATTCGTAGGTTACTAATATTCGATCACATATATCTTAGAAGCATTGCTCATGTATATCGGGGCCATAGGTTTCGCAATTTGGAGCTAGACGCAAGTTACCAAATATGGGTTGCAAATCGATTGATGAGATGATAGGTCTTCAACTGATATGGTTAAAACATGTATGATCCATGCTCATTCATTGACTACCTCGACGAGTGATAATGGGTGGTGTAAGATCAGTTCAGAAGAAATCTAGGGGGGGGGGGCTAAACCCAAACTTGGGTCCAGTCCATGAAAACACTGGTTGTTGGATCGAGCTATGTAGGTAGTTACAGACTGCCTGGTCGGGGTTCGCGCGATTATCGCAACCAATGGTTAGAGACTAAGTGACATAGTCTAAAATCGTCGGCATTGGCGCAGGTGCATTCACTCTGTCTTTCGTTAGATTCAAAGTTTTTGAATTCCTTATAAATTATTATGGTTGTTAATCTGCTAATCCATATTTTGTTCTCGATTCATTTCTTCTATGCCTATTCGTCTCTACCACCAATAATACTGTTACTAACTCTACTATGGGCTTTGCTCTAACAATTTCATTTCACTGTGCTAATATGGTATGGTAACCTGAAACAATGTATACATGTACCAGGTTATACGTCGCGTATGACTGACTGACTGGTTTACACGTTCTTACCTTCATCTCAGCAAAAAAGTAGTTCTCGTTACCTTTGGTGTTTTTTATCCGTGGAGGGATTTTGTGAACCGATTCTATCAAGACCAGTTCATTATGGATAATTAAAATAAATTGAAACTCTCAGTCAATAATGTTGACATTTATTCTAGAGACATATTTTGAAGTAAGCTTCATCTCGCTATATAAATTCATAGAAGTAATTATAGTTTTATTATCTTTCTCTTTTTTCATTTCAGGTTCGTTATCACACTTTCAACTCTCAGGCAGTAGAAGCATGCCTTAGCATAAAGTCCTCTGAAAACAAAGTGATGAATAACGAACGTCCTCTTCCTTCTCCGTTAAAACACCTCCAAGCTTCTCAACGCTATGCAAACACTTCCAAACAGTTATCTTGTCGTCGTCAGTCTATGGATGCAAGTCATCTTGATAGCCGTTCCAAATATCAGTCCGTCGTTTTTACGAAACCACTCATTCGTGACTGGCCTGATGATAAAAATGGGTTCAAAAATTACCGGAATTATCCCCCTCTGGCTGTTCAACAGTCTAATGTTTGTAGCCCAATACAACAACAAACTGACCCAATAACTACCACCTCTACTTTTGAAGTAGGTTTTTCTCATCTAAGGTTGGGACCACAAGAAGATATGCATGAAGTTGTGAGCAGCACACAGTCTTTCTCTGGAGTTACTTCATCTCACACAACACAAGTTAGTGTATGACAATGTTTTAAATACTTCTATACATATTTCTGAATATGGACATTATGCCTTTCAACTATCGTCTTTGCCCTTCAATTAATTTAAGCTAATTGGTCACTTAATAATTGGTTGAGTGCTACTCATGTACATTGTATAAAGCAAACCGAACAATATCCCAAACTATAGGGGACGCTTTTAGCTCGAAGTACAGTATCTTCCTTTTAAGAAGTCAGCTGCAATCCGTTATCTACTTTCGGATCTTTCTGGAAACGTCATCAGTTAGATCCAGCTACACCCGACTTCACTACTTATAGCCTTGCCTAATAGTTGTTTAGCACCTAGGATATTTTTATTTAAGTAACTTCAAACTGTTTTCATATGTAGTTTGCTGTCGTGCCTCTAGTTATATCTTCAGTCTCCAGAAGAAATAACCCTTCACGATGTAAGGAACCATAAAGTGTAAATCGCCTACGCTTCCACTAGCACTCAAGAGAAATAAAAGATAAGTTCTGATGGGAATCTAATGAGTGTAGAACCTAGCACAAATGTATACCAACTTGGGTTGTCACATCAAATTTAAAAAGCGAGATGGTATTAACGAGATTAACAGTAAATGAATTAGAATAATAGTGGTATTAAGGATGGTAAAATTTACATTATAAAATAGGATTTAAAGAGGATTGTCCAACCACAAAAGTCCTTTATATTCATATGTAATAAATGGAACAAAGAAAAAGTTACGGACCATAGGTTACAGTAAACAGTATTGAGACTACCCTTAAAGACCCACCTCAATATGAATCTTATAAATAACTATAAATTCGCAATACATCCGAACTAGTCAACAGAAACGGTAGATGAAATACTGAAGTTAGTCATCATCTACCAGTAGCCTTCAGGCGGTTAATATAGTTTCTCCAACATTTAATAAATCTAAAGTCTGGCCGATTTAAATGGATTAAGATATAAAAAGGGAACTCAGTCAACTACAACAAGAGAAGTAGTGGTTTTCGAGAATCAAGGGCGATATCCATCAATCAAACAACGTAAAGTATTATTGAGGCTAGTTTCGTTAGATACAGTTCCTACTGACTGATCTTAATCAATGATTATTCTGTATTATAATGACGGATATGAGTATTGGTTTCATAACAAGTCTGTGGTATACTTTTCCAAGTCATAGCGTCAGTGTGTGAAATAACTGACCTCTTTTGAACCATTTAGGAAAGTGAAAACCTCGTGCATATGGTCCTTGTAATGGCCATAATCGTTGGTTGAAGACTAAATGACAAGTTTTAAAATCAACAATACTGATGCATTCATTATTTCTTTTAAGTCTCGAATATAGGGTCATTGCTTACTTTCAACTCCCTGTCTTATTTGTATTGCCTACATTGTTGATCTCTGGTATTATTATCAGATAAATATCATAAATTAAAGACTGTACCCATCTACAATCATTTTACAGAAAAGCATAAATTATGTAACATATTTCGAACTTCATTCTGTCTTCGATTTAAGTATCAGAGAAGTACCCCTAATCCTTATGCACAAAGTGGCTTAAAGTCAAGTACACAAACCTGTGTAGGAGATAGTTAGAAGAGAGTTAAGGGCGGCCAAACCGAAACGTGGCATCAGTCCTTGATGTCGCTAACTTCTAGTTTGATCCATGTCGGTAGATTCAGAATACTTGGTTGGGTTCCGTACGACTATCGTAACCAATGGCTGGAGACTCTGGGTGACATGGCTCAGAATTGACCACAATGGCGTAGGTGTATACACTCTTTGTCTTTCCTTAAACCGTGAGATTAAAGTAGCCTTATATCTTTCTTTTTATCAACTAAGTCTTTCTTTTTGTACTATATCCTTATACACAGTCTTTCTTTTATATATTACTATCATGGAAGTAACTACCTCTATGAATTTGGTGATCATGTTGTGCTAATGAGTTGTGGCAACTTGAATCAATACATATATATGCCTGGTCCTACGTTGTAGCTGACTGACTGACACAAACCTGTTTTTGGTAGATAAATGGGTGTCGACATAACTGTAGGGACAGTTGTTTTCACCTTTCGTGAATACCCATTGTTTAATACTTCTCTGTCGTTATATTTTCATTTTATAATGAAATCATAATTTGCTAACTTTTTCAGGCTTCCAGTCGTAGTACAGTAACAGCAACTAGCTGTGCGACCGTTGTTAAAACTATTTCTTCAAGTGACCAATGTTCTTCGGTTAATTCAGTTTTAATTCAAGCACCTCTTGCCACTTGTTTTTCTGGGGAATCAAGCAGTTTAAGTTCTTGTACAAATAGTAGTTCTAGTAGCCACATGGGTCTTCTACCGAGTGCTCAGTCATATGAGTTGGAATCTGAATTTTCTTCCGAATCATTTGGTCCAAGACATATTTCATTTGGTAGTAATTTATCTGACCACTATTTTTCAAACGGAGTTTCATTTCAAAGTTCCAAACTTAATGGGAGTACGTCAACTTCTCCAAAACAACAGCTAAATGATTTATCCTTTACAGATTCTGACTATGCACAAAATGATGCTATGCGTAATCTTCAGGAACGATATAACTTGCCTTTGGCTTGTTTACCTGATCCATGTACTTTTATTTCAAATGTCAAACCACATAATTTTAGGATTCATACTTATCGTGGACCTCATTGGTGCGATTATTGTACTCATTTTATATGGGGGCTCGTTGCTCAGGGCATGAAATGTGTAGATTGTGGATTTCAGGTACGCTACTTTTTAATCTAACTTGGATAACTTCCAAGGTAAATAGAGTGTTCATGTTTGATAAGACGAAACCATATTATCTGAAGTATCAGTAGAGTTGCAAATAAGACATCTGATTGCTGTTGTTTCAGCAGTTGAATTAAAATCTAAAAATCTAGTATTTCATACATTTCTGTCTATTGTTAAATTTGGCCGATTGGAATCATATTAGTTCATTTATTTCGCGGATTCTCTTCACCTGTTTACAAGCTAGAATCAATAGTATTGACCAGTAAAAAACTGTGTATATACACTATGTGACAAAAGTCATGACTAGAATTAATTTCACTTGTAGGTGAATATACTTTACTAAAATGCATGAAAACTTTCATCGTAGGATGAGGAATAGGTGTGATGACTTCCAGCTAATTATGATTAAAAAAAGTAGACTACTGAAAGGAAAGTGCATGCTTTGTAGGTGAGCAGAAGTCTTAGGTAGTGTAAATAAATGTCTGCGATGATATGGTAGTCGTTCAAGTTTACCGACGAAGTTTGCTGAAGTCTGTTCTGTCGTTTTCAGTAGACGTGCACTCAAGAAACCGTAGTCACCTGTCTACAAATTCATTACAAAATCCAAGTAAAGTTGACACTATTAAATGGATATCAAGAAGATTAAACATCTAGAGTAAATCAGAAATAAAACAGCGAACGACTAGTCAATAAAAGCATTTTAAAAGAGCAAATTCATTTACTTTAATCACTATCTTTAATTTTTTCAGTAGGACTTTTAGCATTTTTAAAACTTGTTTATATTTATTGTTTCTTCATACTCATACAGTTCATTTTCCACTCATTTTATTTAGTTTTTCGCTTCATATATTTGTATATATTCACTGTTGATCTACTCTCTATTTTTCATAAGGCTCATAAACGATGTGCTGATCTTGTACCGTGTGACTGTGTACCAGATATTAAACAAATGAAGCGAGTGTTCGGTGTGGACTTGACTAATTTGGCAAGAGCTGAAAACAAGTAAGTTTTCAGCATATTTGTGCTACTCAAAAATGGATTTTTGTTTGTCATTAAACTGAAGAGTAATTTATATCACTCCAATAATCGTGTTCCATGTGTTTATATTAGGGACTGAAGTATTTATTGAGTGATTACCAGTCGTTAACACATTCAATTGTTAATCACTGATCTCTAGATTCGAGCTCTCAGATGGTCTAAAGTCCTGACACATAAAGTGGGGCTCAAGACGAAGCACATAAACCTGCTCTTCATCAACATATGTCACCTTATTAATTGCTTGTGTGTGTTATAGGCATCTCATCTTGTGAAAACAACTGATCAGTTGCACTCTAGCACGTCGTTGGTTGAGAGGGTCCTGACGAAAGATCTAAAAGGTTTATTGAAAATGAGACTCAAGAGTAATTTTAGCGAATCAGAAAACGTGCTAACAGACTAAGAAGTTTTCCACCAACGATATACCAAACCGTTTCTGCCAGAATAAAGTGTTCGGAACCTGATACGTTCGTGCTCTGTACCAATGTTTCGCAACTCTGACTTCAATATAGTGGACAAGACTACTTTTATCCTCTTCTTCCCTGTCCAGCTGAGTAGGGTAAAGATCCATCAAAATCATCCACTTGGGCTACAAATCTTCTCCACCATCTCAAACAAATCTATTTGCAAAACCTTTGTTGACGATGGCTCCAGTATATATATATATATATATATATATATATATATATATATATATATATTGTTAATGAGTTTTTACTTGGTAGGTCGAAAATGTAACTATTTTAGAGAAATAGATGTGGGTCATACCCTGGAAATATACATCTCATATAATTCGTACATTTAAATTGATAACAATATGATTACTGACTGATCAATATTTCTCATACATAGTTATCACAAACCACTCCACTTTCTTGCATAAAGGTGCTCTCGTTCTTGGTTTCTTAAGAAATGTGTATTATATGAAGTATCCATACATCATAATTCCATTCTATCCTTCATCATTATATGTATAATTGCTTATTGATCATTTATCCAGATGATTTAAATGTTGTTGCTGAATAATATAAACAGATGCACACTCATGTCATCATGCTTTTGCTTTAACCGTTATTTCACAGCTTATTAAAAAGTTTGACTATGGTATTTCTGTGCCTACGACTATTTAGTTATTTCAATTTATAATTTTATAAAGTAAACAGATAATAGAAATCATCAATTATGTTTAGATAACTCAATTGTTAGAATTTGTGTGGTAATGTTTGTCAACAAAGCCTACTGTTTAGTAAAAGAGACTATCATTCTTCTTGGATTCTGTAGTTAACTTACATGTAGTATTAACATAACCATTTTCTTTTTGCTATCCTTCATGAGGGTAAACCTTTATCTTGATATCTTGATGTATTTATTTCCATATATTGATTCCATGTATTCTTCTAGATCTCATGTTGAGTATTATTCCTAAATTTTCATCCATCGATTTTAGTTTTTTTATGCTCAAATTTTATCCTGCGTTATTATTTTCTACTTGGGTTAATTTTGCATGAATATCACATACCAACCATAAATTAAGTAACTTTAATTTTATCAATATTTTTGATATATTATCATATTTATGACTAGTAGAAGTTGCAACAAAGGAAAAACTATTCTGCAATGAAGATCGATCTTTGTTTTTCGTAGATATCCATTCAACCCTGATATTTTTATTGTAGGACTGTGCCAACTCTGCTAATTAAATGCATTCAAGAAGTAGAACGTCGAGATGGTTTGCGTTGTGAAGGCCTTTATCGTATTCCTGGAAATTATGATCTTGTGGAAGAATTACGTACTGAATTCGATAAAGGTTAGTTTACTTGAACAAAATAACGTTTTATGAATTATTCATCTTTCATATTTTATTTTTCTTGCACTGTCAATCCAGAGATGTATTTTTGCACAAATGCAAATAAAGAAGTATTGACAATTCTTATGATAATATTATTATTATTAATGGTTTTATTCGATATTATATTTTCGGTACAAAATACAATTCTCAGTGCAAATTATTTCCTTTTCTTATTTCTTGATTGATCCTGACGATAAATATTGAGTGACCGCCAGTCAGATGTTAGCAGTTCAGGAATCGACATCTGAATAATGTTAATTCATTCCAACGCATATTACCAGCCAACACGATGTCTCTGATTGTAATTTTTCGTAACTTTCACACCGAAAGGTCGTAAACGCACCTGAATAGTTCATGTGGTGTGTTGAAACAAACAAGAGACAGGTAATTTGTTGAAATATCTAGATGGTATGAGCAGGTAATCCAAGCGGACCGCCGATTAAGTCCACGGCGAGATCCTAAGGTTTTGTAGTGGTCACGTTTTATGTCAATTGTTATTATTTCGATTCCCTGAGGTTTTTTTTACCTCATCTGATGGCAACTACTTCATGGTATCCATAACGCTTCAAGCCGATACACATTTTCATAGACTCCACTTTAATTACAACTGATTATTATTGACATAAGGCTGTGTGAATTTTGTGAATTATTTGGTTCACATCTCACACTAAACGAAGTTAGACAACTATTAAGCACCAGAAAACACTAGACAATCGTTTTTTCGTAGTGTATGCGTTTCTGTTTATTGTTTGGCAAATAAATGTACTCTGATTTTTCCATAAAGCACAGAAAGGTTGTTGAGTCTAATCCAAAATGTGATTTATCAACATCTTGAAATCGATACGAATTATTTAAAAGAATAGGTATGTACTACTTTACCTAAATACCTAACATGACATTAATTATAACGCGTTTGACGCAACTCGGTTAATATACTTCATTTGTAAATTTAAGGTGATAAGTAAAGACCATTTCATTTTTCGTAGAGCGAATATGTTACTTCAATTCTAGTGTTTTTCAATGAAAACTATCGAACACTAATCATATGATGCAGTAGTGGTTCGCCTCACATCTCGTCATCGTTTATATACTGATCAAGTACAGTTCAAAATATCATACTGATACGACTAAAGTGTGCAAGACTAGCAATTTTGTTTTAGCGAGAGAAGACGAAACAATGTATGAGTCAACGCAGTAGTTTTATTTTACTGTTTCAGCATACTCTTGAAATTTGTCATGTAATTGTTTAACCTGTACGTAATTTAGTTGATATTACTGAAAAAATTTCCAAAATTGGTGGTTAATTTAAATTTTACTTCTGCGCAAATATATATCTATGAATTAAGTAGTTTATTTTCAATTCACTAAATTTGTGTGTGTCAAATATTAGCATGATTATAATGGAATTGTATGTTCGTCTTCTAAATTTGAATCACATTGGTTTCAGGATCAAAGATGCTATTTATTAGTTATATATATCATATTTACTTGTTTAAATGTCTTTCTCTCAGATCCGGAATTGGCAAATGTATCTGAGGCACGTGTTCGAGATATCAATGTTTTGACAAGTTTGATTAAATCATTTCTGCGTCAATTGCCTGTTCCATTAATCACCTATGAAGCATATCCAGATTTACTGGATGTTGTTAGTAAGTAAAAACAAAGTTACATGATATTTTAATCTTGCAGTGAATCAGTAATATATACAAATATTACTTTGATTTTTGTTTGTTCGTCACTTCAATCGTATTCAGTAGAGAAAACTGTTAGATAGAATTTTTTGTTTAAAAACCGAAACAATTTAATCATGACTTTGTCAGAAGTGTATATTTATATGATATACGTCTGATTTACTAGGTCTTCTTAATGGACACTGAAGTTCATTTTAAATATCAATGACTAATCTCGTTGCTTACTTGGTTATATATCATTGATTTTTATTCCCCAGCTAAATTCATTTAATGAATTGAATGGATAAAATTTCAATACGTGTTTGTCTTTTTACTTTCGGTCCCAATTTGTTCTTGCTCCCAATTAGTTCTATACAATTTAAACATCAAAGCAGTGACAAGAAATAAATGTTTGAGAGTAATGCCTTGTTGGTTTTTCGCTAAATGATACGGTTCACTTTGTTTTAACTTTACATGTTAACTAACTAGAAAGGAAAGAAGTTGTTGTTGAGAACAACGATGCAATATTCTCAATCGAACCTTCCAGCTAGCGAGAATCCGACATCATCAATAGAGGAAAAAGTAAATACAACATTAAGTAACATCAAATTCTCAAGACCTAAGTTGATGTGATTTATTGAAATTTTCAATATTATCTGAAGCATTTTCATTAGTGAATAAAACATTATTCTAAACTGCAGTACTAAACGAGTTTAATGACTGATATAAACTTATTACAAACTGAACCTGCTCTCTTAAATACTTGTCAGTTAATGATTTTATCCTATTACTTCTTTGTTGTTCTTATCGTAACAAAGTACCGTACACAAAAAGGTATACTGATAAAACATGTTTCAATCGGCCCCCAGATGCTCTGGTACGACCAAGAGTCGAGAGAGCTCTCACATTGCCACGCGTATACAACCACTACCATGGAACTTCTACTCATTACCTTCTTGTGACATTACTGTTGTTCACGAAATTGAGAAGACGAGAAGCGAATGTCCGGCGCTTTAACCGGGTTAGTGGATATGGAGGGTCTCACATAGGGGAGTTGGAAAACACTGATTTCAAACCAATGGTGCACATGGGCTCCAAGATCCTAAGGAAACAAATTGCGTATTAACCTATTGTTGGTCACCGGCTACCATGGGACTGCATATCCTGACGTTGCTCCACTGCCTTGTGGATCAGACCTTCAGGTCGAAGGCTCCAGGTGTGGTCCGCTAAGAAAACCACCTGCTTCGGTCTGGGCACCCGGGAACTATTTCAGCCATCACACGAATCAAATGATTTGTGTGGTGCATATGTATTTGGTGCCTCCTTTTACTAATGTTTATGTTTTTAAATAAATGTTTCAACCCACACAGTTAGTAAACGTACTTGTATTCATTTAGAATATAGGTACTTCTGGAGTAGATCTGTGTTAGTGTGTTACTAGCTAATACTAGATACTGATTTTTAATATTGTGGTATTTAGTAAAACCAAGCTACCTTTGCATCACACAAGATCTCCTGTTATTTCTTCTAATCACTCGTCTAATTAAATGACCATTTAGACTACCAGTGAGCTTAATCATTCATTTGTTTTTTGTGGCTTTTAATGAATGTACTTCTCTTAGAATGGTCTTTGACCTGCTGATTATTACTGTAGAGTGCAGGAAAAGATGTTTTAAAACATCTTTTAGTTGATCGTCCTACTTTGTTATTTGACTTTTTCTTACTCTTATAAACTATTCTGTTTTTTGGCTAATGACTGATAAAACTGGCTTAACCTCTGCATATCTATTATAGAGTTTAAATGAACATACTCATACCTTTGGTTTTCAATATTCTAATTCCTCATATTTGCATCATTTATATCTTTTTGTAATGCAACATAGATATTCATAGACAACTAATATTTTCAGACATGATCTTGTGACTTCCGAGATTCCCTGTATAAAGAAATTGTAGTCTATTTTTTTTTTTCGTTTGTTTTCTGCTCTACATTTTATGCCTATATCATGTGCTTTTGCTTTTTTTAAAAATAAAAAATAGGCAAAATTACTAAAAGTTTAGCGTTTTTCGGGTTTTTTATGGACGAATAAATCGATATCATCTGTGGGAAATATTTTCCCGTTTTAATCTTAGATCATTTTTATTTAGTTGTTTATTCAATGATATTTGTATATGAAAAATTTGATTCAATAATAAACTAGTAATGTTAAGGTGGAATGCATAGTTAAAAACAATTCAGACATGCTTTTACATATTATCATCAGAAAGGGTTTGAATTATGAAGTTGTTGATATTCATGACTGAATTTTGATCAGCCTTTATTGGCATACATAGGTCTTATTTAGAATAGCTATTTGGTCACAAGTTTTTTCAAAGATAAATAGATTTAGACTAACAGTAGTATCGTGGTGCATACCACTTATGTTGACAAATATAAGTAGTAAGTAACAGCAGTCGGAAGTGGAATGCCTGCCTACAGAAGATTGAAGAGAAGAGAACAGAAAAGAAAACAGAGAGCAATTAAAATAAAAACAGAATTGAAAGAATCATGAGACACGTAAAGGGCAGCTAAAGGAAGATGTCCAAATGATGTACTCAATGTATGGTATTCATATTTTGCGAAATCACTCAGCAATTTTGCATTAAGCAATAAATTGGTTTTATCTCAGTTGCTAAATGGGTAACGTGACGCTGTTTAAAACAAATGGTATTGAATTCGAGCCGCAAAGTAAGCATCAACTGTGGGATTCAGGTACGTTTATCTGACAAGTTGTAGATCGGACAAAACTTGCGTCCTGGACTCCATTGTTAGCCATCATCTCTTTTCTTCAACAAATCTGATAAAATTAATTTATTTCTAGTTAACGTATACAAATTTGGGTCTGTAGTAATGTTTCTATAGTATGTATGTGACTTTGAATTAACTAGATCATCGTCGACGTTTTAGTTTACTTCTGATATAATATACCGAATTAACACCGAGACATTTGTTTTATTGACACTGAGTGTTTGTCTAATAATTCTGTTAATACATAACAAATATTGGTAATTAAGGCAAGTTAACAATTTTGTTTTTCTGGCGATTGTACTTTGTTGACGCATATTCTGCGCATCCTCCTATCATTGGTTCACTTAGATATGTCGAATTCGCCATCACTTTCAATGACCATATAAACAATTATAAATTAATAACAGATAATTCGGTTTTATACATTTTCCATAAATAATTTGGTTTGATAGTATTATTATGTTTGATTAATGACGAGAACATTTATATATGCGCTTGCATACCTGAGAAAGATGAAGAGCAATTAGATTCCGTCCAAGTATGTGTCTACATGTATTCTTTTTGTATTTAGAATTTTCGTATTTTGCATCTTTTACTTCAATTCTCTAAATGAAGTTGTGGTAATACATACTTTAAAAGTATGTATATATGAGAATAGTAGTCTTTATTCTATACAATTCACATTTGTACCACAATATTTTTTTGATTCCTTTGGATATTAGACAGGACCCATTCATCAATCAACTTTGTTATTACTTTTGACTTAACTATATATAAAACCAAATGTAAAACTATTTTAGTGTTTTCTCCTGTTACTTTTTGCACATATCAGTAAGTTTAGCTCCTTTCAATCTATCTTTGTGTGTACCTCTTCTATGAAAACGGACTTCTTTGTTTTTCGAAAAAAAATAATTAGTCTAAAAATAATATTTTGTCTTCGTGCTGTATCAAGCGAGAAATTTAAGGGGAAAAAACAGTCTAATTTGAATGTGTTTTTGCTCGTGTGTGTGTTTCTGCGTCTCCATATCTTTTTATGGTGGTGACTTTTTGACTAAGGAATTGACGACATTGTTTACAAAGGTTTGGGAACTAGAGAGTGTACCAACGTCATGGAATGAGTCGATAGTTGTCCCTATCTTTAAAAAGGGTTCACGTCGTTCTTGTAACAACTATCGGGGGATAAGTTTACTTCCGATTGCGTCCAAGCTATTGGCTTCCGTCATTCTTCGTAGGTTGTTCAAAACCCGAGAAAGATTGACTCGCGAGGAGCAGGCTGGGTTTCGTTCTGGTCGAGGATGTATTGATCATATCTTCACCCTCCGCCAAATGTTAGAACACCGCCATACTTTTCAAAGGCCAACAATCGTAGTGTTTCTTGACATCAGGGCTGCCTTCGATTCGTTGGATAGGACTGTTCTCTGGGATTGTCTATTGAAGAAGGGTGTGCCTGAGAAGTTTATTAACATCCTAAAAGCCCTGTATAAAAACACCTCAGGCAGAGTGAGGGCATACAACCACCTCTCTCCATTGTTCCATTCGAGCAGTGGGGTTAGGCAGGGTTGCCCAATCTCACCATTCCTCTTCAACTTTGCCATCGATGACATTCTGGAAACAGCTCTGATGAATGTAAGTAATGGTGGTGTGGATCTGTTGCCTGGAGAAAGACTTCTCGACCTTGAGTACGCGGACGATATTGTCTTACTGTGCGATAATGCCCAAGGCATGCAATCCGCACTTAATCAGTTGGCAATCAGTGTCCGTATGTACGGTATGTGCTTTGCACCTTCGAAGTGCAAAGTACTTCTACAAGACTGGCAGGATCCTAATCCTGTACTCACCCTAGACGGTGAGCAGATAGACGTAGTTGAGAAGTTCGTGTATCTGGGTAGCTGCATAAGTGCTGGTGGGGGTGTGAGTGATGAGATCAATGCACGAATAGTGAAAGCCAGATCGGCTTATGCCAATCTGGGCCACCTTTGGCGCCTTCGTGATGTTAGTCTGGCTCTAAAAGGTCGGATCTACAACGCGTCGGTGAGAGCAGTTTTGCTCTATGCTTGTGAAACCTGGCCTCTCCGAGTTGAGGACGTTAGACGACTCTTTGTGTTCGATCATCGCTGTCTCCGAAGGATTGCTGACATTCAGTGGCAACACCATGTCAGTAATGCAGAGGTTCGGCATCGTGTGTTCGGGCACAGAGATGATAACTCAATTGGTGTCACCATCTTGAAACACCGACTTCGGTGGCTTGGACATGTTCTCCGAATGTCGTCCCAGAGAATTCCACGTCGTGCATTATTTGCCGACTCTGGGACTGGTTGGAAGAAGCGGAGAGGTGGTCAGTGCATGACATGGTGTCGTGGCATGAAAGAAAGCTGTAAAGGACTGGCTTGTGTTGGTCCTTCACGACTCCCTGGTTGGGGTCCGAGAGATGGTGCTACACAGTGGCTAGAGACGTTATCAGATATGGCTCAGAATAGAAGCCAGTGGCGATCCTGCTGTAACCTTCTTTTACTTTCTTCATAAAAAATGGTTGTGTCTTCCCTAACTGAAAGATTTCTTCTGATTGTACCTTTTCGTTCCGTCGTTACTACCACACTACCTTACTCCAATCTCTTCGTCATTGTTCTCTTTTTCTTTTGTGTTCCGTAGTTTTTTTTCTCTTTCTACTTCTCTTCGAATTCCCATTGTTTTGTGTGGCGCATATATATTGGCGCTCTCTTGTACCAATATTTATGTGTTCAAATAAATAAATAAATAAATATCTTTTTATACTGTTTTACTAGTATGAAGAATAGCATGTTTATTAACCTTTCCCTTCGTTCATTATTTCCCTTAAGTTTTTTTGGAAAAAATATATTCTATTAAAAATTTTCTGTTTATGCGTCAGGAAGTTTTCACTCTTACAATTAAAAGGTTATGAATAAACCAGAACACACAAATTTAATAAGCCGGTTTTTTAATCGAATTTTTTAGAAATCATAACATATTTTGAGTGACTTAATAATACACTGTCAGCTTTAAAATTGTTGTTTTCTTATTGTAAGAATGTCAGTGCATGCAACTTTCAGTTGATTTTAAGGTATTCTGTTGAGTTTTACAAAATGACTGCATCGAGCTGTGGCCTAATGGTTAAGGAATTCAAATTTTGGCCTCTAAGTTCCGGGATTGAACACCGCTCCACCTACTGCAGTTTAAGCAACCGAGTAGTATCACTTGCTCATTTCTAATTTCCTGGTGCATAAGTTAGTTGAATTTTAATCAGTGACTGTAACTGTAAATAAATTCGAACAAGGTCTCCCAAAATCTCCAAGCACTGGTCGCTGTTATCACACAGACCTTAACCAGGTTGTCTACTGCTAGTCAGTTTTCATGAACCGATACTGTTTTGGTTAGGCTGCCTTAAGCTCTCTTACAGCCTACCTTCGGACTAAAAGGCGTCGCCGTTCGAGGTAGCAGTGATCAGGCATACATAATACTTGTTCTAACAACCTCAATCAATGGAGATTTACAACATTTTCAACTGATTTTTAACAGATTCCTGGTAGAATAGAGTCATGAGCTTTAAGAATTCACAATAGTTTTTAATTGATCGACTCCCCCTAGATTGTTTTTTGCTGTCATCTTTGGTGTTATATAAACTTCCTATTAATTAAACAAATTGTAGAAATAAAATTTCACATTCTAAAACCAAACATCAAAATGACTGAATAGTTAGACAAAATCGGTAATCCTTATCGGTTGCCATAAAACGCTCTTCTCATCAATGATTTAGTGTTTATATCAGGGCGTTAATCATCAAGTCATGGTTTCGTAGGCTGTTCAGTCTCCTGGGTTCAGGGTTTTCCACCCTGTACACATAAAATGTAGGCTTAGAAATTTTATACATTATCATCATTATTTTTATAAGTTTTTAAAATTCTATTTCTTGCTGGAGTGTGCTAATCAGTAGTAGATAATTTGTTTGAATTCGGTCAATTGACAATTATTTTATCTATTCGGAATCCAACTAGATCAAGCTGTTGTTTTTATTCAGTTTTACAGATATACCAACTTTGATAATAATTTTGTATATACAATTCATTTGTAGGAGATGATCGACTGACTGAACAAGAGAAATTAGATTTGTTAAGAAAAATATTTGCTCGCTTACCCGGTGCACATTATGAAAGTTTGCGTTATTTTATAAACCATATACACAGGTAATAATAAATAAACTTTCTTAAATGTTTAAATTGTTAGTATTGTAATGATACCAGGTTTCAATCACTTAATATATTTCCGAGCCTTTTTGATGTATTAATCACTTATTGATCATATCATATTCTTTTTTCACCTTGTCACCACTTCAAAATTCTACAAGCATGAATAGCCTTCTTGTTTTCATTGTATTATGGAAAATGAGAGGGCTTTATCAAAACTAAGGCTTTCAGTACAAACTACTCGTATTTTCACTTATTGGTTGTCCTCATCAGTATGTTCTGTCATTAATTGTCTGAATGAGGTTACTAACGAACAGCTTTCTGTTGAAATGAAGCACAACTTAACATGAAGGAAGCTGGATTACATAGCTTTGCGAGGAAATTTGTATCTAATATACAATCCGAAAAGTACAGAAAAATATTAGCTGCCAAAATACACAACTAAGTTTGCTTATACATTAAAATTATTCAAGGAGTGTATATTATGCTTTCATTATTAATATAGTTTTTTTTTCAATTGACACATAATCAAAAGTTTGATGTTGAAATATTCATTTTTAAAATATTTTTTACAGAGTAGCTGAAAAGCAAGATGTGAATATGATGACTGCAGCTAATTTAGCTATTGTCCTGTCACCTACTCTACTGAGTTCATCTTATACTGATCCTATAAGTTGTTTAGCTGGAACACTTTTTGAACATACCTTAATAGAATTACTTATAAAACATTGTACTTACTTACTTCCATCAAGCGGACGATGGTTAGCTAGTAGACCTACTGAATTAGCAGACAATGCAATCCATTCACCATCCCATCGTCATAGTCAAATCATTACCAATAATAATTTTATTCCACCAGTCACTACGGTATCACCACCTAGTATACCATCTTATAAGAAATGGAATTTTTTAAGAAGTCGATCATCCACAGATACTCGTACAGTGCCAACTTTATCACCTATCCCATGAAATTGGATGAACAATTATCGATCTCGTTCTTTATCTCTTTGTGTCAGTATAAATAAATTATTGTGAAATGTCATATTTTTTACTACCTATCTTACCATTATATTATTCTCTGATTGTTCTGTATCAACAAATTTTTGTTAACACATTCCACCGTTTTTTTATATAACTTTTTGATTGTGTCCATTTTGCATTTCGCAAAACGTTCTTAACAAACTTGTACACATATATTTACTCATTTCTTGAACTCCATAATGTATGTGCTTGTTTTAGAGAAATCATTCGTAAGTGATACTTTTATTGTCTTCCAGTTTTTTTCTTTTATTTACTTTAAAACATTTAAATGCAAGCAGTATAATCTCGAGTTTATATGACCACTTATAAGCTTATTTATATAAATATAGCGTGTTTCTAACATCTGATTGTGTATTTCTATCCTATCCTATTGTTCAACTCACTACCTTTGAATATATGCTTGTTGTCCAGCTCTTATTATGTGGGGATTATGCTGAGACATCTTTAAACATTATTTATTGATAAACTTATATGATGGTACCATTTTTATTTGATTTTTATAAATAGGACTGACAGTGCAAGACAAGAAAACGAAATAACACTTTGTACATATACATATATCTGTATTATTAAACTGTGTTTTATAAAAATAGCTCATTACCTGATGGGTTATTAAATAGTGAAGGTTAAATCTGTTTTTGAGTCCATAGCTCGTCATGTTTACTTTATTCACATCTTTCTTGTCAACTTATTTCTGAACGGTGAAGTGATACCGTTAACAGTCGTATGGTAGATGTGTTTAATGAGTCAGTAATAATGTTTATGATTTCTGGGTTACAAGTTCAAATATAAATGTAGATGAGCGAACCCAAAAAAGAACAATTATATATTGACTGTTTTACGCAGGTTTTATGCACAGTCTCAGCTTGACTTTTTTTGCAGAGCATTGCTTATTAACTTTGAGAATGACTGTAGGAAACTTGAAATGACTTTGACCTATGAATGAATTAGAACAAAATAAACATTAGCAGTTATTAGTTAGTGTCGGTCATCTGTATAACGTTCAGTAAGTTATTTTGTCAGGCATACGTAAAAGTCACCGGTTATATGATAGTAGGAAAATTTCTGCATATTGCCCATATTTCATTGTACTAACTGTTTCTCCATACTTCTACTATACGTGCTTTAAACAAGTATAGTCATTATAATTCCAGTTTCGTGGTATCTTTTTGTTTGTATGAAACCGTCTAAAAATAATTTCAATTTTCTGAAATTTGCAAACAGTTGTGCCTTTTGAAAGTTATCAGTGTGTTCCCTATCGTCTATGATGTTAACAGCTGTAATTTATTCACAATCATTTCTTCTTTCTAAAAAAGTGAATTTTTATTCGATTATGTTGTAAACAGCATACACCAGCTGTAAATAAAATTAAATCCAAGCAACAAACGGATGAAAAATTTTCACTGTATTTGAATAATCACTGTTTGACAGCAAGATATTTTTCTCTTGTTAAACAAAAAATTACCGATTGTTTTCCTGAACATACTAGACAAAGTTATTTATTAGTTTTGTAAATCGATGTCTTACAGGCACCATATTTTTTGCTTATATATATGAGTCATATGACAATGTGGAATATGCTTTTTACAACATAAGCCTTAAAACTTGACGATGTATGCAGCAAACTATAATAAAGTATATCTGCATCCATTGAATAACTGGTTGGACCTATGTGGAGTCTGAAAGACCAATTAATTCCTGTACATTCATATTAAAGTTCGACAATGTTTAACCTACATATTTTTTATAAGTAACCAACTCGATCGATTCATTTGACTTCGAACCTAATGTACATCTGGTTATTATGTGATTGATAACGTAAATCAATACCTCTATATCAGCACATCTATGGACAGAAACAGTATAACCCGAGGTAAAAACACGTTTTAGACAAAAAGCCTAATTTATTATTATTTCAAGAATTGAATATTTCATTTAGAATTTCTATTTCATAGAACTACACACCAAAATAACGTAGTGATTATAATTTATTATCACAAAACTATGGCATAACGAATTCTAAGCTTTGATCAATCAACCTGACAACCTCTCGATAGTTTTTTACTTTCTACGAACTGTTTGTTGTCTTAGTTTATAAGAAAACAAAGAGTTCGTTTAAATATACTATGATTTGCAAATAACAATATTCACTTGGTATTGTTTTGCTTGTATCTTCCCATTGAGGTTTAAGACTGCAATTGATGAGTCTGTTATTAGCATATGTGCATACTGTGCGTATGCCTCGATATTACCTTAATTCACAAGCTATTTGTAAGCAATAATGGATAGTGGCTAGCAGTGGAATCCAGGACGCGCGTTTCCAATAGCAAGTGAACTCAAATTCACCCCATTGCACAAGCAAGTGGCTATCAGGACTCAGTAGCTGAGTGGATAACGCGATGGCGTTTGAAGCGAATGGTACTGGGTTCTAGTCCCAAAGTGAACATCAACTCTCTGAGATGCAAGTACATCCAGCTGACGAGTCCCAAATAGGACGAAACGCGCGTCCTGGATTCCACTGCTATCCATCATTGCTTACAAACAACAATATTATTTATGCATAGTCACTCTGACATGATAACGTATATAATCAGCTGAGTTAATAATTTGATCTGGTCACAATTAACAATGGTGCTCTTTTTGAATTAATAATTCTATTCATCTTAATATTAACTACCTTATAACCAACTAGTTAGTCATTAATATTCTATCCAACTAAGACTGCTGATACTTATATTGTGTTCAGGTCTTTTTATCGATAAAAATATTGAGATTCAATGATCATCTCAACTTACCATTTTTTCTAATAAATGAATGGAACCAAGTTAATAGGTGCACAGAAATCTCTACTTAAACTTAACTCAATTAACAACAGAGAATAGTTAGTAAAGTACTGAAAAACAATTCAAACAGAGAAATACAAATTTTTTTCTAAATTTTAGTATCAAAATGTACGTTCAAGTAATTGATTTAACCAGCAAGAAAACATTCACAGTAAAAATACATAATTAAAAACTGAAAATAAGCCACTGGAGTTATAACATTAATGATTGAAGTAGCCTATCTATAGGATTATCAAATAAATATACACTGTATTATGAAAGAAAAGTGTACAGAGCCGAGAATGTAAGGAAGTCCTCTATTAGGTACAATAAGTCCTCAATTAAGCCCATTTTGATGTTGAGTAAAATTCCCTTACAAAGATCTTTAACACTAGAATAAATCGTAACTGAAAAATTTTCCAGATACACACTTTTAAATACAACAAACATTGTTATTGAATATGATGTTTATAATAATATATAGAAGAAATATTACACACACTTCATAGAGTAACAGAACTATGGAAAATAGTGCATAAAACATTAGGACTTCTTGCTTAATTCTTCTCCACGTGCACAAACTTTCTGCACTGCATCCATAAGTGTAGCTCGCAGATTACCTTTCTCTAAAGCATAAACACCTTGAATTGTTGTCCCGCCAGGTGAGCAAACTTCATTCTGTACCAACACACAGATATATATATTTTAATAAAGAAAAACTATAATATAATCATCCCGACACAACTAAATATACAGCAAAATTTTGAAAACGAGACTTATCATTAACCACTGTAAACTACTTTTCATCAGTCAGTAGAGGGCACACTAAAAAACAGATTTTCTTTTGACACTATTAGGTGGCATTATTTGTTTGAGGCTTATGGTAATCTACATACTTGAGTTGTTCAACTCCATTTTTCCGAAATCCCTAACGCTTTCTAGATTTATTGGTAAACTTCAGTAGTGTTATAGATGTGCGAGTGACTGACACATTCTAATATCATACATCTAAGAAGATTATTTCTTCTTGAAATAACTAAAAGGACGGAATTGATATTCATAGTTTTATCGATTATGGAACGTGACTGTAAAGATTGGAAACACAACTCCTTGATGCCGATTATAATTGAAGTTTCTCTAGTGCTAAGTTTTTGCAATATGTCATAACGTTTTTGAACGCTACTGCTTTAAATGTAGATCAATGGAAGCATAAACGTATTCCTCATTGTTAACAATTAAATCTAACTTTCTCCGGTTACCCGTAAGGAACAATCATGTTGTCAAGTCCTAGGACAGATTCAATAATACACTACATGAAATGCAAATCATAAAATAATACATTTCAATGAAAATATTTTACAACATTAGTTTAAAACAGGTGGTCGGTAGAAAATTGAATTTTCATTTAAATGAATAAGCTTATTAATCATAACTATTAGATTTATTCATTGAAATGTATATAAAATGCAGTTAATTAAAAAATATAATCGTTACGTCTTTGGTGTATTCAAGGTGTAGAAGTTATGAAAAGCAAATTGAAATCTAACACTAAAACTAGCCCCCCCCCCCAATGTCAACCAATGATCTATCGAGTTCAAATTATATGATGATTGAAAGTACCCATTCTGAATGAGTTATTTATCGATCTCACTGATATCGTTTTGATTAGTTTACATTATATTTTAGATGTTACGTTACTTTACTATTATTGATTTCTGTTTTGTAATCATCTCAAATGATTTCTAGTAGATTAATTATTGTTTGGTATAAACTTTGTTATATATGACAACAAGTAGCACGAAACCCGGGTCCAGGGTTTCCTGTTGACTACCTCCAACCACCATCTAAATCTCAATACATAGTGCCCGCAGTGTCGAGTCACCTAGACTGTTGGCCACATTGCAACATGATCGATAGCATTCGATCTGCACTAATAAGGACTAGACAAGCATGACATTAATCACCACCCAGTGATCAATCAATTGTAAATTTTCACCACATTTATAGTATAAAGAAAGATCTTTTTCTGAAGATACTAGTACTGATAAATTGAGTCATTAAAGAAAAATGTATCCTTATTACATTGTTTTGATATACACTAATCATTATTATATGATGCTAGGTCAATACATATGCTACCATTGTAATTTAATTGACTAAGAACGTTCACTGTTTCAACTTGTACATATGTATATATGTATATAATAAATGTAACAACAGTTTACTTTTAATTCAGTTGTACTTTTGCCAGTTTTTTGCATCATTACAGCTGAGCCTAATATAGTATTGACAATTAGTTTCTGAGCGATTGGGCGTGGTAAACCTAATAGAACACCAGCATCTGTAATTGCTTCAGTGATCATATAAATCTATAATAAGAAATGATGGAGAAAAAAGTAGACAAACAAATGAGAATTATACATTTCAAAATGCAATTATAATTTCAGATAATCAATGAAAAAAGGAATAGGATAATTATTAAGTGATAATGATTTGAATTTAATAACAATGATAACACGTACATATTCTTGTTTTGTGAAAATTATTTTATTTGTTACAGATTGGACTTAGTTAGGGTACATGGGAAAAGTGAGAAGCACTACTGGACAGATATTTCGTCTTAGTATAGGATTCCTCAGTAAGGCATACCCATAATCCTGCGACGGATCAAGGTAATACAAGGAAAATTTAGTCATCTAATCGCTCTCAACAGCATTAGAAACTGAGGACTATTAGAGACGAAGACTATACAATATATATATATATATATATATATATATATATATATATATATATATATATATATATATATATATATATATATAACTATCCGATAACTACATTACGTAATATCATAAGGAATCCAAAAGTTATCTACTTTTAGAATAGAAACTACTTCATCAATGATTTTCAGAATCTGTAATGAATGGCTTTTCTTCAAGAATAAATTAACTCATGATATAGTGAAATTAGTTAGCATATAACAACTTTTATGGATGTATTTCAGACAATTATTCTGGAGAAAAACGCGCGCACACACATGTAATACTATGTGAAAAAAAGTAATCTAAAACGAATTTCGATTACAGTGAGAAAGTAACATTTATATAAACAATGAACTGATATTTTATTATTAAAATGTTATTAGGCTACAAAATTATGCATATTTATGACTCAGAAATTATGTTATTGTATTTAGAAAATGAATGCAATGTGATTAAGGATGACACGAATAAGGAACATGTGACAATTGTGAAGATGGTGAATATAAAAGTTACTTGAATTAGCAATATAGACAAAATAACGATTTCAGGAGGAAAAAAACAGATGGAGATAATCATGAACAAATGTCTTGTAATGAATATATGATAATCAATAAATTACATAATAGTACACGCGGTTGTAGAGTTGATACTTTGTGTATGTTTATTTTTGTCATGCAGTAAATAGAAACAGTAAGAAGGAGAGAAAGAACATTCAAGATAAGTATCTAACATAAAAGAGTAGAAAGTCAAATGTATATTTATAGTTTTTTTAATAAGTGTACTGAAAAAGTACTATGATTATATCATGTTTATTAAATTTGTTTAATATAAACATTGGATACCACTAGTTGAATTAGTTTTCATAACAAGTATAATACTTGCTAATTGAAAAATAAACTAAATCGTGAACAATTTATCCTAAGAATTTTAAAACAATTAGTCCCTTTGATAAATCTCGATAATCCAATGAGAAGACGAAGTTTATTAGAATTATGAGATATATTTGCACAGTACATTTCGAATAATCTGATCATACATATACTTGTTAAGACATTTTTATATGAAAATTAAAGGTCAACTAGACAGGTTAAAGGTAAGCCATAACAAAGAAAAATAAATAAATAAAGTACACAAAACAATGTGATAACCACTCTGGATAATAAATCAGTATTACCAGGGTAGGTTAAGGGTAAGGACAAAATGTTTTTGAACGCATAAATGGGGTTTCAATTTCTGTATAGCTAAGGTTTCAATAAACCTTAGTATACTAAGAATTATAGTTTAAATTATGTAATCATTTATCTAGATCCATTCTGTTCATTACCTAATATATAAGATAATTTTATCGGAATATAATAATTTTGAAAAACGTTAACAAACAGGAAATAATTATTTTTCGATAAGTAGAATTTTATAAATCAACTCATAACTAAACTAATAGAATCACTCAAGTTATTTAAAAAGTTGATAGAACTTTGTAAGACTTAGAAATGCGAACAATTTGAATGCAGAAGGGGTTTTGTGGAGATTTTAGTCATTTCAGCAGTTGAAATCATGAGCCAATTGAGGCTAGACCACCATGGAAAACCTGGATGGCCGTTTCGTCCAAGTATGAGACTTCTCAGCTACTCACTAGTGACTGACTTCAAGAGGCATTTCCTGGAGTTCTAGTGAGGAGCCGTTACCAGTGGAGTCCAACCAGGTCTGTTGTGAGATATCAGCTCACCGAAGAAAATGGTGGACGGTGGCGCAATTTCGTGGATTGGATGAAGTTAGACATTAACACCGTTGGATGCAGGTTAAGCCTGATAGGTCCTGGGTTCGAATCTCGCGGGGTGCGGGATCGTGGATGAGCACTGCGGAGGAGTCCCATACTAGGACGAAACGGCCTTCCAGTGCTTCCAGGTTTTCCATGGTGGTCTAGCTTCAATTGACTCATGATTTCAACTAGTGAAATTTGAATACAGTTAAGTAATTAAGATTATACATGTGATTGATAATGCCAATCATACCGATGGGGAAAACATAAATTTACTGCCAGTAAATGTATATCTGTTTGTAAGAATCTTTTTTCAAGTATATAAATAAACCATCATACCTTCAATTTTGTGTTAGTATTGACATTCATTTAATTATTTACAAGGTTATCAATTAACCTATTCAGTTTTAAATAATTATTTCTGTCTACAATGTAAAAAAAATCCCGTAGGAATTCTTTATCATACATTGTTTCCAATAAAATCACATTGTAGACAATAAGAAACCTCACTAAACAATTTCTACAAATCTACACTGTTCCTAGTGTAAAGAGACTGTTACTTTATATGAATTTTTGCAAAGATAAGTTTATACAAAATACTAAACATTAAGTAATAATATACTTTTCAATTACTACTTAATAACCGATGAAACAAAGCAGTAATTTGTATAGTCAACATAATTATGTATCCTTGAGATGTTTCGGGGTGGGACACGTGAAACGATGCCTCAAGCACCATAGTATAATAACTAGTGATTTTAGTGATACAGTCATTTTTACAATTCAATATTAGTCGGTAAAAAAAACAACAAAATATCATGTTTTATTCTACTTTTCTTACATACTTTCATTAGAGTTATATCAGCCTCCGCTGTATGAATCGTTTATTTCAGACATACGTAGTTTATATACAAGCAAACTAGACCACAGCACATCAAAAAATGCAAAATATTATTTGTACAAGATCAAGTCAAGCCTGTAAGTATGGGACACTGTAGTTAATAAATTGGGGACAAATTAAGAGTGGCAAATCGCATAACCGTAGCCAATAGATCAAATAAAAGCTAATAATAAAAGGAGTATGTATAATCTGGTTACTTAGTAGTTATCGAATAAGAATATATGAAATAATAGTCCATAAATAATTCCTAGCAGTTACCATCCTTTTATTCTTCGTACAGATATAACAAGTCCTAGAGAAGAAAAGCAGCGCCTCAATGATACCCTCTATGACTGTTTCATAAAAACACTACCTTCAATCGCTATATGATTTCTATAAAAAGATTGTGGGACAAAATTAAGTTTAAATAAAACAATATTTTACACAATATCGAACACTGAAAGAAGAAAGGCAAATCACGCTTTGCATAAATCATATTACGAACTCAAGCGCGATTAGCATGGTGTTTTTAAATGTCATTTCGACAAAATGTCACAAAAATTAACCGATTTTTATGACTACAATCAACCCTAACCAGTGGGAGAGAAAGTTTCAAATAAAATTAGGGTTTATAGATTCGATTACGAATAATAATTACACGAGTTTCCAGGCGGCTTTAGGATATTTACCAATAAGAATACAGACTTTGAATAAGTTATTGGAAGCACATAAAAAGAGCGACATATTAAATTCAAGTCATTTACAAATCACTTAATCCGTATTGTACATTTAACAGATTTATTTTTAGAGATCTAGTTATGCTTTAAACGAGTTTGAAAATGTAAAATTTAGACGAATTGAAAACATTTTTTTCGTAGTTTAAAATTGAACGTGCAATCGCTCGAATATAATTTTGCAGCCTACTCCATACAATACTAAAGACTTATTACGTAGAACAAAATGCCAATCCCGTTACTCGATTATCATATGGCTCATCACCCCACCCAAATTATTTTAGTGATTACAATGAATTAACGAAATACTACACAATCTTGTGACTTTCTCTCTCTTTATATATATATGGTACCACTTTTACAGCCTCAATAAGACTAAAAGAAATAATAGTCGCCTTATTTACACAATAGATGACTTAATAAAAATATACAACAAAATATACCTGCATATGTTCATGAACCTAGAGGAGGTGAAGTGGATACATAAAGTCAGAACAAGAGTATTTTCACTCCCTGATTGACTGTTGCACTTAAGGTGAATGATGTGGGACTCAAAATCAAGATCTCTTTGTAAATGATTTGGTGCTTAGGTAATTTCAAATGGAACAATTTTAAAAAGACAGCGGTGAACTGTTAAGGAGTCGTGCATAACTGTTAATGAACTTTGAGTAAATGTCTAATCGGTCAACAATCTACTGTATAAATAGGATGTTTTTCAAGACCATTTGGAAATACTATTTGGAATATTAGAAAATAAAGACAATAAACTTAAAAGTATTCACATAATTCAAGTTAACAGTAAATAATGATACCATATGTATTGGTTGTTTGAATATTTCCGTTGATGTTATAGACTGTCATGGATCAGTCTCTTTTGACAAACGTGTATATTGTGCAGATCACTTCGGTATAGACATTACGTCACAAAGATTTGAAACAGAGATGGATAGTGGCTAACAATAAAATCCAGCACGCGCGTTTTGTCTGATTTGGGACTTGTAAACTGAACGTACTTGGATCCTACAGTTATTGTCACTACGGGATTTGAACCCAGAACCTTTTGTTCGAAACTCCATCGCGCTGTCCACTTAGCCACTGAGTCCAAATAGTCACTGGATTCTGTGATGGGGTGAATTTTAATTTATGTGAATTGGGTTTCTGAATATTCCTGTCGACGTTTACAACTGAAATCGATCAGTCCCTTTTGGCTTATATGGACTCAATAGTTACG